TATTAATCCGAAAGTCATAGACTGAGGAGGGCGGAAATCGACGTGAAATACTACTGTCACTAGTGTTAGGCGGTGTTTAACCAGTTTATTTTTCTATACGTAATAGTTTCAGCTCTTATGAAGTGATTTCAGGTCATCATCACCGCGAGACACTGAACGGAATAGATACAGGACCTTCACTTCCCGAACATACCAAACAAAGACTTGGTAAGCCAACTCATGTTAACTTTTGATGTATGATGCCTAAAATTCTTACTGAAATGAAAAATGTTGGTAAATATCTGAGAGCAACTCATCACCTCTATTTTCAAACATCTTTTTTAAGACGAACAGTAGACAAAAACGTCTTCGCGGGTGTCCCTTGCAAAAAAATTGGTCTTGCAAAATTTAAGAGTGTCTATCTATTCCAGAATCCACGACAAAAATCTTGTGATTACATACTGATCAGGCGGTGTGCTCACTCCAATTGCATTGAATTATGGTGGGCTCCTGATTCAGACGAAAAAACTCCAAATGACAAATGATTATGTTTCATAGCTGCGAGCAATATCGAGCTTATGAAATCAGATAACTTTCTTAGATGAGTCACAGACATTTCTTGGTCAGCCGATAAAACAATGAATGTTGGGTCAAGTTTGTGCTTATTTATCTGTATTTACACTCAAATCAACAAGTTTAAACAAGAATAAAGAGGAGGAATATTTTATTCAGTTTGTCTGGTAAACAAGAAAGCTTTGTCTGAAATTTTACAAAATTTGAACTTTCAACAACACGCGCCAAGATCTAACAGTGGGCTAGATATCTTTTACGTGAGGATGAATAAAACGAGAAAAGGTATCACTTAGAGTGTTTCCCGCCGTTTTCTGAAGTCCTTGATTCTCGCCCTTTTTAAAACTTCGACATACCACATTTCTTATGTTCTAGAAATAACGTGCGTTGAGAAATCCAATTTGCGAAACTCCATTTTACGCCAGTTCTACCACAATATTTAACTGCACTGGACCAGAGATAGAATTTCCAATGACTCATGCTACACTTAAAGGTCATACGAACGACGAGAGAAAAACATACGACTTTTTTTAGAGAACATCAAAATATTTTCTTGGCTTATTAAGATGGATAAAATTCCAGCACAGCCCTATAGCATTGTTAAACAAATCTGTTTTTCCAATGGCAATGTATTGTTTTTGTCATTGTGTGCTCTGTTCAAGAACTGAATGCATAATGTAGTATGGGGCTGTGCAGAAATGTTACCATTCTAGTGTAAACAATGCTAGATTTTTCTGTTTAAGATTAAACTCTTCGGTTTATAGATCTTTCGCGTTCTATCTTGGGTTATCATTTAATCGGCCGCCCTGGCGGAAAGTATATTGGGTAAAATTTCTGCACAGACCCATACTATATTATGCATTCAGTTCTTGGATAGAGAAAACAATGACAAAAACAATGCATTGCCATTGGGAAAACAGATTTGTTTAACAGTGGTTTGGGGCTATGTGGAAATTTTACCCCAGTTCTACTATAATATTTAACTGCACTGGACCAGAGAAAGAATTTCGAAGGACTCATGCTACACTTAAAGGTCATATGAAAGGCGGGAGAAGAACGTACGATTTTTTCAAGAGAATATCAAAATATTCGCTTGACTTATTAAGCTGGATAAAATTTCCGCATAGCCCCATACTATTGTTAAACAAATCTGTTTTCCCAATGGCAATGTATTGTATTTGTCATTGTTTGCTCTGTTCAAGAACTGAATGCTTAATGTAGTATGGGGCTGTGCGGAAATTTTGCCCCGGCGAGTTCTCCTTGTTCATTTTTTGGTGTATTGAAAGTACGATTTGGCGGCCAAAAAGTGTCCCTTTTAAGCGCACGGCCAAAACGATCATATTACATAGCGTTTCGATCGTTGTCATCGAAGAGATTTTACTCCAAAGAAACACAAGTTTTATGGAATTAGATGGTAGCGAATCCAAGTGATGTGTGAAAGTCGATGCATACGAAATATTCATTTCGAGAGCCTCTGTTTTTGCACTCTCTGGGGAAAGGAGCAACTTGCAGTGAAACTGCCCGATGACTTCTCGGCGAAAAATCATTGTGCCTCGTGATGCAGCTGATTCTTTCGTCGAAAGTTCGCTTTTGGTTTCTTAAGGGAATTACTCTACAGCAACGAAACTCTAGAGCACTGACCGAGGGAACCTTCGCCGCACTTATTGCGAAGGAATGAAATGTTTTGGCAACAGAAACGAACACGTGAAAAGATAGAGGGGCCGCAGCCAGGATAAAACATCTTGTAAAATTTAAAAAACGATCTCTGGCTAAAACTTTTAAAAAATACGAGCTTTCGGCTGTTTGCACTACAGCCTTCAACGGGTAAAATGATAAAAAGGTAAGAAATACTAGGTGTGAAGTACAAAGTAAAAATTAAAAATGCTGATAACTAAGAATTTACCTTTTTATCATTTTACCCGTTGAAGGCTGTAGTGCAAACAGCCGAAAGCTCGTATTTTTTAAAAGTTTTAGCCAGAGATCGTTTTTTAAATTTTACAAGAAACGAACACACTACTCATTCTTAACATAAATTTCGCCATAGAAAACAAAACACAAACGCAATAAACTAAATATTCAGAAGAGGGAGTTTTTTGTTCTAGTCTTGATCTGAAAACCGCTGGCGAGAAACCGCCTTTGTCAGTCTTCGTCGAAATCTTCGTTTGATGCACGCGGTCCTCCTTCGTAGGGCTGAACCGTGCTCGCAACTTCCATTTCTTCTTTGCTACTTGAGTGCGATGTATCACAACTCTCGTTTGAGCCTGCTGAAGGTAGGTGTGCATCGCTATCGGTCATAATTTCAAGAGTATTTCAACGCTGACCGATACAAACGCAAAATTACAAGAGATGTGAGAGATTTGTAAGTGTTAACTGAGAGTTCTCACAGTTTTTCTACGTCATCACCCGATAATTCGTTACCAGCCCACGGGACATTTTTAAGATAAAATAAGAGCACTTTAGGGCCCGAAAAACCGTGTTTTGGGCTTTTTGAAATTTTTCTTCTATCGGAATTGGTTTGTACATATGATAAGCTAAATATTTACGCAAAAAAAATTGCGTGTCATATGGGCACTTTAATCCGTCGCCCCGGCGGAAAATTTATTGGGTAAAATTTCTGCATAGCCCCATACTACATAATGCATTCAGTTCTTGGATAGAGAAAACAATGACAAAAACAATACATTGCCATTGGGAAAACATATTTTTTTAACAATAGTAATAGCTTTTAATAATTATTTACAGGAATGGCATGCAGAATTTATTCAAACCCTGCAGGTTATGGCTTAACAATTTGTGAAATCTTTAGCACTTTAAAATAACTTTTTTTAGCACTGAAGTACCTCTCCTCTGCACTGTTTCCTGAAAACTTCATTTCTCTTGCATGCTTTTCAGAAGGAAGAAATTTTTACCTGATCAAAAAGGCAATATGATTACATGCCAGCAATTTTCAGTGGTCATTTAACACAGTGGGCTACAGGTAGTAATTTAACACATTTTTTGTGAATAAGTAATAAAAGTAATTTATTTTCTTGTGATTTTTATTTTAGCAACTTCCTGTCCAACACAAAAGGTTCCTGTGATGTCGGGACAATTAAAGGTAGCAGATCAAACAACTGCTTCTGAAAATCACAGCAGCAACCAAGTTATTTTGTACACTCAGGTGTCATTTCATTTTAAGGAAACTTCACTTTTATCTAGACTTTATCAATGCATCCCTGCCAACTCTCTCACTTCAGGAGCAAATTACTTTCCTGCAGATAAGAAACTTTGCAACTACATATTACTGGTATTTACCAAGCAGGAGGTTGATGAGGGAAAAAAAAAATTTTTAGAGAGTAAAATAAGTTCACATCAGTTTAAGATTAAGAGTCCACATACAGTATTGTGCAAAAGTAATGCAAACGGAATTCGACGAATTTCGTTATTTGTTCTGACGATCTTTCGTCGAAAGTTCGGGCGAAAATTCGATCGAAAGTTCGAGGCCTCTTAAGCGACATTTCGTTTGAACAAAGGGCGCTTTTTCGTTGAATTTTCGCCTCAAAGCGAAACTTCGCGGCGGAAAGTATCTCTTCGATCATTAGTGTTCGAAATTTCGCTTCGAACTGACAATAGACTTTCGCGAGTAATCAAGTTTGTTTACTAACCATGTAAGCGACACGAAATATACATATAAACGGAGACACTTCATATTTGAGGCTAAACACAGTAGACAAAAGGTCAAAATATCGAAAAGCATCACGCCCGATTCTGGGCTCGATTTGTGTTTGACAACGAAAGTAAATCGGAAAAATTGTCCCAAGCGTCACATCAACTTCAGTTTCCTGACGTTTGAAGAGGCCTAAACCATCATATCCAATTCAGAGTTCGATCAGTTTACAACAATGAAAGTAAATCGGGATGAATAGCAATTCCGACCAAGAGACATGTATTTTAATGGAAATAAACTCTCAAATGATTGCAATAGTTTTTAAAATTAACCTAAGTACAACGCTTTTTAACCAGACGGAGCAGAGAATGTCTTTAGTGTGTTTTCAAACGTTTTCTATTGGGAAGAATGTTCCTCGTTTATTCGTTTTCGATCCCTGCGCAAATAGACATCACCCATATCGCTGATTGCAGCATGCTTTGCAGATATCACAACACCATGTTTGTTCGGAAATATTTATTCTTCACTACAAAACACTGAATACCAATTGGCGACGACTGAAAACAACAATTAGTTTAGTCACATTGCTCTATTTTTTTGTAAATTCTGACACGATAAAAGGAACCAGCGTCGTCTCTAAAATGCTGCAAAACAAATCAGCGTCCATGATGCCATCAAAGATACAAATCTTCGTGGCACCACTTCTGCTAATCCCTCCCCAGACATGCACTTTGAGTGGGTGCTTAGGTTTCGGCTTTCGCTTTGTGGGCTCATTTGCCATTCTAAAGCAAGTGCGGCGATACGCCTAAAGGGAAATGGAACACTCGTCGCTAAAAATCACGTTGTTGAAAGTGTCACCACTTTCTAGGACGCGTTGTGCGAACTCTAATCGCTTGACTTTATTTGCGTCACGGATTAGCTGGCAGTAGGCGGTCCGCTGCAAAGTCCAACCTTGCTGTTTGCGTGCTCTACGAACAGTGGACGCACTCACGCAGATTCCATGTCTCTCCAGCTTCTTCTTTATCGTATTGCTGGTCGTCTCGTCATCCCTGCGCATTTGCTGATCTACGAAAGTTTTTGCTTCCGTAGACAGCTTTTGAGGTCTTCCTGATCGAGGTAAATTTGCCACGGAACCGGTAAGTCGCAACTTTTTAATGATGGGCGTAATACTGGAAAAGCTCACTAGCAGCCCTTCGTGTTTCAACGCTTTCAGTATTTCAGCTGGGTTGAGGCCTTGCTTGTGAAGGATCTCGATTCTATTTCTAGAATAATTTGAAACTTTTGCCATGATTACTATCAAAAGTAGAGTACATAAATGATCCCAAACGCATCCCAAATGATCCCAAACGCATCGACACAACAACCTGTGTTGCCATGGTTGCAAACAATATAGGGCGCGCGGAGACTGGAATCGTAGCGGGAAATTTTATCGGAGTATTACATAGTGTAGTAACCAACCACAAATTCAACCAAATCTTTTTGAGAAGAATGAACAATACAACGAATTTTCGCCCCGAAAATTCGCCGCATAGAACGAATTTTCGCTCGAAATTTCGAGTCGCATTTACGCCATCAAGGAATTTGTCGCCGAAAGTTCGAGCCGTTCAAAACAATACATGCCTCGAAAATTCGCGGAAATGTCGTCGAAGTTTCGTTTCGGTCAAGAATTCGTCGAAAAGCCAGGAATTTCGCCGAATTTCGTCGACAGGTGTTTGCATTACTTTTGCACAATACTGTAGATAAAAATATGTACTAGGTCTTGTGTTTCACACTTTTTTTTAGATAATAATTGATCATACAAGTTGTTTAGAATTGGATGATTTAAAGTTTGCTATTTCATGCAAAACCAAACTCTGAATATCTGATGAGGAAAAACTTGTGTGTAACATTTTTTGTGTGATGTCAAACAGTTACAGATGTAGGTCACTTCTTAGAGTATGAGATTACACAGTTATATCACACTAATCGTGGTATCCACAACAATTGTTCTTTACTGTCTCACAGAAATTTTGTACAACTTTTGCTCATAAGTTTACTGGAGTTTGTGAAGTTGCCAAATGAATTGAAAATTATAAAGTGTCTTTCAAAAGTAAAATAATTCATAAATGAGTTTTTTTATATTCATATACCTTAAATTGAATTTCCTAAATCACAAAAATTGTGCTTACAGAACAATGCTGAGGAAAGAAAACTGAGAATAACCCTTTTGAGTGCTGAATGGAAAGCTTTAGGCAATGGAGACTTAACAACCATTAACAGAGAGCTAGCAATACAGATGGCTAAACATCCCAATGTGGAAGTCAGTGTCTTCTTACCTCGGTGTAGTGAAGAGGACAAGAAAGATGCTGATAGGTACGATGTTAAACTCATTGAAGCAGTTCAACTGGGTGGTTTTGAACCAGTTCTTTGGCTAACCTATGTACCTGAAGGCCATGCTATGGATTGCGTTCTAGGCCATGGAGTAGTTCTTGGTCGGCAGATTCAACTTATAAAGAAAAATCCAAGTTACAATGATTGCAAATGGATTCAAGTTGTCCATACTGCCCCTGAAGAAATTGGCATGTACAAAAGCATTTCTGAAGGTCAAAAAAAGCAGCAAACAGAAATAGAATTATGTGAAATGGCAGATCAAGTTGTAACAATTGGCCCCAAGCTAACTGATGCATATAAGTACCAACTCAGAACACAAGATGTTTTTAACCTGACACCAAGCATTTTCACCGAATTTTTAGAAGTACAGCCAGCAAGTGACGGAAGAAGAACATTTTGCGTCTTGGTAATCGAGAGTGGTGATAGCGAGGATTTTTATGTCAAGGGGTACGACCTTGCAGCGAAAGCTATTGCTGACCTAAAGGATAAATCTTACCAACTCAAGTTTGCTTCCAAACAGAGAGGGAAAGAAGATGAATTGGCAGACAAGTTACTTCAGTGTGGCATTGGTCGTAATCAGCTAATTATCTGCAGCTTAGATGAAGGCAGGGTAACATTAGCAAAGTTATTCTCTGTGGTGGATATTGCCATATTGCCCTCAAAAACTGAGGGATTTGGGTTGAGCGCTCTTCAGGCCCTATCCGCTGGTCTTCCAGTACTTGTCAGTGGTAACTCAGGAATTGCAGAAGCCTTAAAGGAGGTGTCTAATGGGTCAGAGTGTATAGTGGATTCAGAGGAACCTGCAGACTGGGCCAGAGCTATAAAGGCTGTGCGTAACAAAAAAAGAAGTGTACGACTTGCAGAGGCTGAGTCTCTTCGTGAAAATTATTTGCAGCAGTTCAGCTGGGAGAAGCCTTGTGATTCCCTTGTTGAAAAGATGCACAATCTTGCATTTGGTAAGTTTTCTCATCTTGCATCAGAGATGCAGAAGTTTTAATCAAATTTGAAATAATGTCAAAACTCACATGTTCAGCATTAAATATTCAATGTACCAGTTAGCAGTTGTTTCTAAATGTTTTAGGGACAGTAGAATGTGACAAATTTACATTAAAGAAAAATGGTAATCCAAGGCTACAAGTTGGTGGTAATAGTTACTGTTAGTAATAATAGTGCTGGCCATAAATTGTAATTTGTGACAATTTGGTATGAGACTACCCCATTTAGATGTATTCTAATCTTTACTTCAGGAAACAAGCAAACTTGGAATTCAGAACATGAGAATGGAGGGGCATGTTCATCCAGTGGTAAGAGCCACAGAGAATTAGCACTAACTGATCATGTTCATCAGTATGGTAATATTGTCTTTGCAAATTTTGTGGAAAATCAATGTTCACATTTGATAATTTATTGTTACCTACAATGTAGCACTTAGTTGTCCATAATCAATGTGACTTCACCAAACCTTTATCAAATTAATTTTCCAAAAATCCAAAATCATCAGGCTTCTTATGCTTTTCTCCAGATCCTGGGTTCATTTCATTGCAGCTCTAAAATTAAGTTAACAAAATAACAAATGGATGATCATTCTAGCAATTCAAGTTCCAAGACAGTAAGAGAGCCATATTTTTCCTTGACTGCTAAAATGAAACATGAATTGTTATGCATGTACCTCACAGAAAATGCCATTTTGATGGCATCCTCCTAAACTTTTGGATTTACTTTAATTACTTAATACTCTACCTGCAGACTTAGGGGCAAGACTAATTTTCCAGAGGAGTGAAAACTCTGATGTTCATCAGTGTACAGTGATTGAACAAGAACAAGAGCCTTCTGTCAAAGAAATTGAGCTTCAAGGAGGTGTCATCAGAGATAGGAAACCTAGAGCTCCTAACCCAAGCAATGTTAACACTGTTGTGAAGAAAAAAAGGGAGGTCTCTGAGGAGGTATCAGACCCAGTTCCTGGTCCAGGTATATTTTATACCATTCCATTCCATCAATCAATCCACTAATTAGTCCATCCATCCAACCATAATAACTCACATCTTTCTGTCATCAATTTGTTAATCAAACAATACATGTATGTCCAACAATGAAAAAATCAATAGCATGTATCATTTCCACCAAGTAAAAAAAAGCATTTTTCCCAGTTGAAATCCAAAATTTTGCACCTTCAAAGGAAAAGAATATAAAACTTGAGTTAAGATATGGTTTTATTTAAGAAGAGGCTGGAAATTAGATCATGCAGTGGTGTTACTTCCATGCTGTGGTGTGGTGAGCAAATAGTTTGGGTGAGGAAAGCTTCATGAAAGAAATCTGTCATTAACAGTTTTTCAGAGGATTAGAGAATTTATTGCAGTAATTTCACTCAACATAACTTTGTTTGGTGGGTTGGGAACCTTGTGTCACCTAGAAGGGAGGACTGACCCACAGAGTTTTCAATAAATCACTTTAAGTGATCTAAAAGGATTAATTGGCATGCATGCTGCCAGTGTTCAGAATGTAAAGTTGATTCTCTGGGTGCATCTGTTTTGGATTTAAACTGCAAAAAAATGTAAACTAATTAGAGAAAATTGGGCATCAAAGTCTTGAATTTCCAACCCCTGAACCTTTCTTTCAAAACTGTCGCATACACTCTTGTTTCATTAATTGTTGTATTTATCAACAGCTGCTGTTGAACATACTCTGAGCATTCTTGAGGACATGAATTCTTTTGCTGATAACAACACTCAATCAATTCCCTTGCCAGCTACAGAAACTTCTAACATGAAAGGAAGTGTGTCTGTTGAAACCAGTGGGTGTAATTCCTTACACTGTGCTGCAATGGGTGGTAATGAAGCTATAATTGAGACTTTGCTATCTTCTGGATTAGACATAAATTCAAGGAGTAATGATGGGACAACACCCTTAATGATGGCAGCCGCTACAGGACAAGAGAAGACAGTAGACCTTCTTCTCAGCAAGGGAGCTGATCCACACCTTAAAAACTTTATGGGAAGAAATCTGCTTCATGCAGCAGCTGAAGGTGGCAACTCTTCCATTGTGATGAGAGCGCTCTCTTGTGACATTGACATTAATTCAAAAGATGATTGTTCAGCCACCCCATTGATAATAGCTGTTAAGCAAAACCATATTGAAATTGTGAAATATCTTCTTCAAAAGGGTGCAGATATATCTTTGACAACTGAAGATAAAAAGAGGAATGCTTTACACATTGCATCACAGGAAGGAAGTGTTGCAGTAATTGAGATGTTACTCTCCTATGATCTCAGACCTGATTCACGAGATGGTGAGGGAAACACGCCATTAGCCCGTGCTGCAGCTTGTGGACATATAGAGGCTGTAAACTGTCTTCTTAAACATGGAGCAGATCCATTACTGAAAGGGCAAGATGGACGGAACCTTCTCCATTTTGCTGCTCAGTCTGGCAATGTCATCATTATTGAGACCATGCTTTCTAAAGGTTTTGATATTGATGCCAGAGATGAAACTCTGGGTGTAACCCCTCTGATGGTTTCCATTGCATCTGGAAAATTGGAGGCAGCAAAATATCTGCTTGAGAAGGGTGCTGATAAAAGTTTGAAAACCACTCCGGGAAAACTCCCTCTTTTGTCTATTGCATCAGTAGCTGGTTCTATTGCAGCCGTTGAGATGCTGCTCTCACATGGTTGTAACATTGATGCTAGAGATAGTGAGGGAAACACACCATTGATGCATGCTACACGTCTTGGAAATACAGAGGTTGTAGAATATCTTCTTGCTCAAGGTGCTAATCCATTACTTAGAAATACATCAGACCTTGGACTGCTCCATTTAGCTGCTTTTTCTGACAATGCTCTTACTATTAAGGCTGTGCTCTCTAAAAATCTTGACATAAATGCTAGTCGTACAGTCCTTGGTATAACTCCACTGTTGTTTTGCTTGGGACAGGGTAAACTGGAGGCTGCAAACTATCTGCTTGCAGAGGGTGCTGATGAAAATTTGAAAAGTAAGGACGGGTTGACTGTTCTATCTGCTGCAGCAATGAGTGGTAACGTTGCAGCCATTGAGATGCTGCTTAAGCGTGGTCACAACCCTAATTCCAGGGATGGTCGTGATAACACACCCTTAATGTGGGCTGCAGAGGTGGGAAACAAAGCAGCTGTAGAATATCTTCTTTCTCTCACACACTAAAATGTTGTGAAAGGCCACAGAGGCCCACACTTTTAAGAATACTTGCACAGGTGTAGTTAGATGTAATAAATATTAGTTTTTAAATGAATAGGAGAAATTCCAAGTTTTTGTTACATTTATAATGGATTGGATGATTATTGTCTTTAATTGTAATTACTCATAAGTTTGCATTTATCTTGATGGTAATCCGTGGCAACCATCCCCAGCCCATCAGGTGAAAGGTGGCAGATAGTGAAAGGCCTTCACTGAAGGTTAGCTCCAAATAAGCTAGCTTCCCAGTGGATAAGGAGTTGCAGACCAAAGTGGCGGTGTACTTACCAGGATGGGGTGAGGCTGCAGATGGCACTGCTTCCTCTATAAAATGCTCCATAAATCCCATGACAAGTACATCAGGCGAGAAAGGGCCGCCTTTAAAGCCCTAGCCCGGGCAGGTGGAGCTCGATAGCCTGGGAGGGTAATCCACTTAAGAGAAGGACTACCTCATCCAAACCTATCTAGTGCCAGGTGTAATGGACAATTAAGTCATGCAATTACCCTGGGTTCAAGGACATGACAGAGAGTCCTTTACCCATGCTCTAGCTATGGATAAATAGTCGTTGTTCTTTTGAGAGAACACTCTTTAGCCAGAAGATAGGAGATGCCACCTCTGTTATAAAAGCTACAGCCCTACGAATCTTACAGCCTCTCAACCTGCTGAGCTGCTGTAAATCTTCCCTGGGCTTAAAGAGTGGGATTGATGTGCATGAACTGGTCCTCACTTTAAACATACAGAGTGCAGGCAGGAAATAAAGACCTGCAGTGATGGAGCATGGCAAAAATGACAGGTGCTAGATGGCGCTGAAGTTGCAGAAATAACTCTGCATGTAGGTGGTCTAGGGTAACATGGTCACTTGCTTGTGAACAGAGACAAGCGACTAAGCAGCTCACCCCAAGCAACCTAGCAGCCTTTTCTAGGGTTGCATTGCTTGCCCTGAATAGAGAGGGGTCTAGTAAAGATGACCTAAAAAAAGTTTGTCTCATCCTTACCCAGTTGGTTGGCCCAATCAATGGGCATCCCTAGTTTAGCAGTAAAAACTAGTTAAAAGATTTTATTAGTATAAACTAAAAGACAGACTTGGAAACAGATAAGGACTATGAATATGAAAATGGCTTGCTGGAATGTGCAGGCAATGTAAGACTTGGAAGATAGTGTTCAACCTCACACAAAACCCCTCTCTTTGCCTCTCCACCAAAATTCTGGTATATAAGGCTGTTGTCATCTATACCTTCCTGTAAGGGGTCAAGGCATGTGTACTGTTCAGAAAGCAAATCAAACACCTAGAACAGTTTCACCAATGCTGCCTTTTCTCCATCATGAACATTAGATAGCAGGACTATAGAACCAACAATGAAGTCCTGGAAAAAGCCAATCTTCCCAGTATGGAGGCCACGCTGATGCTGAGACAATGATGGTCTGGCCATGTCTCCTGTATGCCTGATACATGAATCCCAAAGGAGCTATCAGATGGAAAACAAGACAGAGGGGCTCCAGGAAAATGCTGGAAAGACTAACTGAAGGGCCGGTTGACTCAGGCTGGCATCAACCCTAAACATTGGAAACAGCTTGCAGAAAACCATGCAGCATGGTGATTAACAACAAGAAGAGCAGCACAAGATTTTGAGATCACAAGACGAGAGGCAGCAGAAGAGAGGAGATGATGAAAGGAAGCACGAGAGCAGGATCCAACAGGACCTTCCTTCTTGTGCCCTTGATGTCATTTGAGAGCATGCCTCCCCTGGCAGGACCTTCCCACAACTGATCCTTGGTTATGAAGAAACTGCCATTATCATCATCAATTATATTGTGGCAAGGCTGTATGTATCATATTAGAGATTCAGTTTTTGAGATCATGTGGAAACAGCATGTATCCTTTAGAGTTCCCACACTACAATGCATTTTACTCTGAAAGAATAACTTGGCTTTTAGAAAACATCAAAAGGTGTTATACTACAGCACAGATGGGCATGCATTTAGTTTCAATGACTAACTAACCTCGGCTGGGCTAGGAATGGCTCCTCTCAGCTTGGGTGGAGAGAAACAGTACAAAAAACACATCTGTATTTGCAGGCTTACCTTGAGAAAAGGCTTCACCCTTTAACTCCCAAGATCTGATTGTGAATTCTCCCCTCTAGCCGCTACACATTTCCTTGTAAGTTGGTTATGAGAATTTGGTGTTTGATGAAGGTCTTGAAGTATCTTGTACCTGATAAGTTTGAGTATTGTCACTACCTTTTTCCTGGATAAATTATGAATATAGGGAGAAGTTACGCGTTAATCACTTCTGGGAGTTAAAGGCTTTAAAACCTAACTTTTCTCTATTTCTTGGTATAATTTACAAAATTCAGCTTATTCTTTCATCACAATGTTTAAGATACTCACAGAATTTTAGAAATCCTAGTTAGTTACCTGTAAGTAAATGGAAATTACTTTCAATTTTTGTTAGGTGGATTAATAATTGTCTTGTATAGATCAGTGTGACAAGCTTAACATACTTTTTTGGATAAAATTTAACTCAAAATCAAGATCTGTTTAATTTCCTCTCTCTCTAGGTTGGTAAAACTAGCTATTTGCTAAGTAAGATTTTTTACTGTGATCTAATATTAACTTTTTGTTGTAGGACAAAAACAGTGAGAACTATTGATTTCAATTTAACACTAATGCTTAGGGTTTAAAATACTACTGTATGCCATCTTAAGTATTTTAAAGTGGTTGAAATTTCCCATATAAATGAAAGGAGTGACTTAATAAATGCAGAAAAAGAGCAACTTTTGTGAAATTTTACATTTTGTTCCTAGGAGATTGTTGCCATGCAACCCCACTCTTATCACTGATAAAATCTAGCAGTGTCTTACAAATCCATTCACAGATGATAAAGATCCAATTTCAAACTAGATTTTAAATGATGTAGTGCGAATTTTGAATAATTTCAAAAAAAGAAGACTTGGCAAAGTCATTAGTGACCTGTGACCTAGCTAATAGACTATTAATGTTTCAAGACTTAAATTTGCTTAAGAGGCATCTGTGAACAAGCAACATATAGTGCATTGATTTGTCCAGCATTTCAGGGCTGTCCAGTCCATACCAAACCTCAAAAGGCAAGGAACGATATCAAGCAGTGAAATGCAGATGTGACCTTTGATCACCTCTACATTCCATCTTAGCGTACTTACTGGTGCTGTAGCAAAATGGATCCCCTTAATTCCCTGGGGGGGAGTGGCTGAACATTTAAATTTTCTGCTTTTATGGAACTCTGTGATGTCTGGTCTCACATTTAAGAGTATCACTGAATGATATTTCTTTCAATTGGTTAGTTATTTTCTTCAAGGCTGAGAGCAATATCTATTGTTACTAAAGTCAATGCATTAATCTTGATAAGATGCTGCAACGTTTGTGCTTCCTTAACTGAAGGAAGAAATATAGAAAAATGGGAATGGGTGTTCAGATCAGTCAATCAATGCAATCATCAGCTGCTTATTTTCAAAAATCAATTTTATTTAATTTATATCACTTTATTCTATATCCACTTAACAAAATTTGCCAGCCATGAGCAGACATCAATCATGAATCTGTTCCAATACACCTGCTAACTACCGGTATCACACAGTTTTTCATCCTTGGCTAATAAACTCAATGCTATTTCACAAATTTGACTTGAAGTTACCAAAACTTGAATGAGTCTGAGAAGAGAAAATTATCATTGAATGACCATACTTTCCCTGAATACTTCCAACCTAAGATGGAAAGGTACTAAAGAGGACATCTTTTGACATTTTCTTAGTGTTGATGCAAGTCTTCAGGCTCTTTGATACGAAATTAAAGATGCCCAACAAAATCAATTATCTTGTACTTTTGATTAACAAAAAAAAACCAAAAAACAATTGAATTTTAAGCAATTTGCAGGTATATCATCAAGTAAAGGGAATTGTGTTGGTATCATGCAGCTTCAAGATGATGGGACTTTCATGCTATGTAAAAAGCCCAAGAAAAAATCGTAATCACAGTGATAAAACATATTAAAAAATTTTTCTCCTAAGAAACTTTATATGAATCAGCCAAGGCCTACTGGCAACAAGTAATGTTCCCACCACTGTGTCATTCAAGTTCCACATTTCCAAGTTTATACTATATTGTATTTTGACCTGCAAATATTCCACAAGTGATGAAATGTTATTTTAACCCTTAAAACCCTTGGAGTGACCAGTGTCTAATTTCTCCTTACTGTAATACTGCTGAATCATTCATTTAGATCATGAGAATAAAGGAAATTATGTTAGGGTGCAAAGAGTTAAGATTAACTGAAATAAACGAAACTACAGAAAAAATGAGCCTAAAAAAATTAGCACGTAATTGGGATTTGCGCAAGTGCCCATCAGCTACAACTTAATTGGACTACTGAGTCTCGTGGATCACAGCTTGCTAATTGCCTTGTTCATTGTTGCCATGGAAACAGAATTTGTGATCCAACTACCACCATCTACCACCAGTGTGTTTGCTGTGATAAAAGCTGAAGCACCACTCGCCAGGAAGAGTACACTATCTGCCACATCTTGGCGAGAAACCAGTCTTTGTAAAGGTACATTCTCAATGAAGTTTGGTGGGAGATGTTTGCCACCTGTGAAGATGTAGTACAGTTGAAGCTTCCTTCAGACTTAAAGTGAAAGAAAATTGTGAAGTGCACTACCTTGTAAGTGGAACAGGGATTAAGGTAAATGAAATGTTAAACATTGAGTATGAGAAATCTTTAGACCAGCTTTCAGCCAGGAAAAGTATTCTTTAAATAATTGTACATATCCAAAATTCATTTCATTTTAAGCAATAAAATGTTTATCTCAGCCTAACTTTAGACTCTTAAAACCTATTATAACAATGTCAATTAAAAGCTTTCCACATGTCTGCCAAACACAGGTTGCTTTTGCTGAAACTTTGGATGCTAAAATTGTTTCTGTTCACCATAGCAATCAAAACAGTTGCAACCCATGCCTCTGTTCTGTTCTAAGCTTATGAAAAGTAAATGATATGAAACTTAAATTAGTTGCAGGTAAAATATGCAGATTCTATTTCCAACTGTAATTCTCTGTAATTTGTTACCTAGTCTACGGAAACCCTCTGTGTCCTTCACAGCACCAGGTGCAACACAGTTTACCCTCACACCATCTGGGCCCCATTCAACAGCAAGATGTCTTGACATACCCTCTGATAAACAGATAAGAAACAGATTATCAGGGATTAAAGGGTATGAGAAAACATCTGAAATCTTAGCCCTGCTGAACCCTCTCTGACTGCCAGATCTCATTAGCCGTAATTTTCCTTACTGTCTGCCATACAAGTCTCATGATGTTGGTTCAGAGAATTTAATACTGGATCAACTGATATTCCCCTTATAGATTTTTTTGGTCATTACTGTTTCTTAATCCTCTTCATGATATTGTACTGATATCACGAGGAAAAATTATGTCTTGGCCACTTAGGGAAGTAAAATGATTAATGGCAGGGATTTTTTTTTGAGTCCTGACCATAAAAATTTGACTAAAAAAATTTCTCTGTGTGATAAATTAACATATAAGGTGGAGAAGGAAATTATTCTCTAAGCAGTAGTTACAGTAATAAATTGTGCAACTCAGAACTTTATTTAAAGACAAAGGATTGACAGTATTTGAATAGTATGAAAAAGGTTCTTTGTTGACACAAATGTTTACAATAATGTAATCATATGACCTCACCAATTGCAGCTTTTGCACCTCCAGCATGACACTAATTGAGAAAAAAAAAATTTTAAATGCTTCCTCAAATGAGTACTTAAAATTACAATCCTTTCATTTTCCAAATTGACCAAAAGGGAATTTCTTCTCACAAGATTGATACATTTTCATGCAAAAAGGTAATGAAAAGAAAGAAAAATATCTAATAAGAGATACTGTTTGATTTAACACCAAGTTCTCAGTGCTAAAAATAGAAGTAATGAGTTGTAGACCATAAGACAAATTGTCTGATACTCAGACCGGAATAATGGAAGCTGGTTTACTTACTTGATCATTTCGGTATTTTTTATTATAATATTATTTACACCCCATTCAGGGAACACAAACTTTGGTCCCAGAAAAATGTTCAATAATATCTTGGTATCCATTACCTCTTTTGAAGAGACTCCTCTATTCAGGGGATTAGAACACTTTTTCTGGGTCCTAAAGCCTGATTTAACACCCATTCAGGGGACACCTCAACCAATAAAAATGTGACTGACCCCAAAGATTAAGTGTACACTAGTCACAATGATGACAGCTTTCACAATATGACCTTTTTAACAATGCACATCATTTGATGACAGAGATTTTTTTGCCATAGGATAATGCAGATGATGATTTTTTTGTGGTAAATTATTACCAAACTCTAACCTCTTTTTAGGGAACACTTGCCCTGGTCCCTGGGTGTCCCCTGAATAGAGGTTCCACTGCAGTTGAAATGGGTAAATTGTGTAAGGGTCATACTCCAAACAGTTAACCATAAATCTACCTGTTCCTTTTATACAGCAGACAAAGCCTTTTTGAATACAATTACTACAGACCTGCAGAGGGTGTCCATTGTGATGAAGTGTGGCTGTGATGTTGATGATGTTACCACTGCCATTATTCTAAAAATAGTATTTCCAGGCACTATAAATTTCATTGGTGACAGTGCAAATACAAAAGAAATACCAATTTACTTAGTGGATTCTACCTTATGAAAAATGTCAGTGAAGCATACTGCTCTGGGATTTCTTATTTCCTAATGCAAGCCACAATAATTACTCTGTTGCTGAGAGCCAAATGAATTTGATTTGATTCTTAACAAGTCAGTTCTGCACCCGCAAATCACATTCAAGTTTGGCCCATCAAAGTAAACCTAAAAATAAAAAACTAACAACCAGAATTGTTTTTTGGAGTTTTCTGAGTTTCACAGTAATATCACAGTTAACTAAGTCCTCCATCAATTTCTTGCTTACAAGCACTGGCTGGCTGTGGCTATCAAGGTAACTGTTTTTTTAATCCTTCTACTAAAATGGGTAAAAAATGATCCAGATCCAAACTGAGTAAGATCTGCCAATTGGTTCAAGCTTATTATTAATTGCACTGTTATTTCAAATTTTACTGTCAGTGTTTCTAATGAGTAGACATGCTTATTCATCAATTAAGGATGTAAACACAGCTGGTATTGAATACTAAAGGTAAAATCATACTTCTAGATAAAAAGTGTTGTCTCCAGTTAATTAAAGAAACAATCTTACCTTAAAACATTTGTTATACACAGCTTTACTCACATTGAAGGTTCCAAAAGCATCAATGTCAAAAACTATAACATCACAAAAAAATTGTAAATAATATACTATTACAGAATGTTATTGACAAAAAAACTCAATCTAAAAACTCAGTGTAATCTGTCAAGTTGGGTTTGTCTACCCCTGAAGAGGATAGTCTTCAGTGAACTGACTGCATGGTGCCTGGACAATCTGAGTGGAATTCATTATCAGAGGCAAATGATCAGAGTATAACTTCCACTCAGGTTGTGGGGAAAAAAAGCATCTGATCCATTTACTTCCACAGACAACAGTCCTCTATTGAGGATCAAACAAGAGAACAATATACAAAATCAGCTTTCACTAAAAATTAAAAACTAATCAAGTCATTTTTAATGCTCACCTGTTTTCAATCCATTGTATGAAAGCTGGCTTGCAGGGCATAGAAAATTTCCTGCTGCACCTAAAGGGAAACAAATTGGAATGAGACTTCTGTACTTTGTTCAGAACTTTGGTGGATTTTAATGTCTAACCTAATTTTTAATTTTTGGACTTAAACTTTTAACCCTTAGGAGTGACGAGCATCCAATTGCTCCCTACAATATCACCACTGAATCACACACTAATTTCATGAGAATAAAGGAAATGATCACCAACTAAAGAAACTCTTGATTGTTGGACAAATTTTCTGTGTCAGCACTTTAGTAAATGTACAGAGAACAATATGGAGAATATGAATTCTGATAATATAAGGAAATATCCATTTTAGGTCACTCATTTGGTAGCTACAAGCAGTCTCTCCTTTTCAGCAAAGTACTACATGTGAGTACAAAAAAAATCAGAGTAAAGAGTGTTAGTGTGCTGGGCAAAACTCAGAGTTCCATGCAGTGCACTTAACATCAATCTTTATTTTGGTGGTTTTTTTTAACTCACATAATGAACTTCATTGAAAAGGAGGGATTTATCTTAGTCCACTCATTTGGTGAAATACAACTAAAAACTTTAAAGTCTATTTTTCCATTGGTGTCTGTGACTCAGATTTGACTCAAACTTGAACTGATTTGGCTCAGATGCAACATAATAATATGATTCTTCCTCCAATCTTACAGTTGATACTTACTATTAACTAAAATATCTATTTTTGAGAAATGTTTCAGTGCCATGTCTACGGCAGCATCAACTTCATTCACCTGGTGATCAACAAATAGAACTTAAAACACTTTGTTAAATGAGAAGTATAAAATTGCCTCACCACAGTCAAGGAGGGGGCATTTGTTTGAAGCCCCCACTGAGCCCTCTCCAGAAATTCTAGAGGAGTAGGTATGGGTATTTTCTGGAACACATTTGATGAACAGTTTTGCTTTTTTTTTTACTCTCTGTTTATTACAACTAAACCAAAAAGCTTAAGTTTCTGAATATTCTGTGGTCGTACAAATACACAACTGTGAAGACTAACATTGGAATTAGCAATTGCTCAATCATTAGCACAGTCTGCTTCTAGCTTCAAACCATTTACTGGATTGGAGTATGTAGTAAGTTTCTTTGCACAGTTGGGATACAGAAAAATGGCTTAATATTAAAATATGCAAAATTTACATGCTATTTGGCACCCTGATTATTTCTTAATCAATTTATGTCACAACAACAAAACAGATTTAAGGCCTGAACATATTTTTACTCTGAGAAAACTTTTTAAAATTCTCAGTGAGAGCAATTTGTAACCTCTAGAAATAATCATGTATGAAGATGTTTCCATTTACTGCACCTTTCTCACATCAACCTTTACTGGGAGACATTTCTGTCCTGTCACATCTTCCAGTTTCTTAGCTGCCTAAATTTGTTCACAAAAAGAATGATGAAAATATTAAGCAAAGTTCTTATATAGTTGTCATGCTGACTGTGGTAAAGAAACCCATAACTACATCAAAGAAATCAAGATTCCAAACTAAAGCCTATTGCTACCCCTGTGAGTCACACATTGTCCCAGTATAAGTGTTGTCATGTTCCCAAAACATACCAGTCTAGAACTCAAACTTAAGTGTACTAACTCAAGTCACCATTTAGTGACCTAAAATCATGAAATGCTAGCCAGAAATAAAATTGTACTCACCAGAAAAATGAAAAGAGAAGGAAAAAAGAGAAAAAGGAAATGACATTTTGTGAAACAATATGTTTTATGCAAATGCTTGACCCTCTTCACTTTGGGAACTGTACCACAAAACACATCCAACCAAAATTTTTTTTTCTCTTCAGCATGGTGGCCAAACTTTTGCAGCTTGGAACACTACAGTTGCTACTCCAGTGGGGAGCCTCTGACAAACGATAGTCGCCTTAGACATCTCTCTATGAACTTTGACATTGATTTAAGTTTAATTTATTTCATTCTCGGCAATAACCAAACTGGCCCAGCTCAGCTGTAAGCTGGTTTGAATGGGGGCCTGTCAAAATTTATCCTTATACTGCTTTGTAATGATTACTAGAACAGTTACTTTGAAGACCTCTTTTCAATTTATTACCTTTTTAAGTCTGTCAAACTTCCGACCCACTATTACAGCAGAGCAGCTGTGTCTAACAACAATGAAAGAATTAAATGGAAATGAGAAGCACCTGAGTCATTTTCTGGTTTTCTATTTGTAGTTTGAGCAAGAGATTGGTAGCATCTAGTACAGCCCCATCCTACATTATGGAATCATCTCAGAGAAAACAATGCACATTGGGAAAACAGATTTGTTTTACAATGGTATGGGGCTGTGCGGAAACTTTACCCCAAACTTTAATTATAGGCCGTCTTAGTGCCTCCTAAGAAAGGTGACTGAGTTGGAATCAGCAGGTCCCCTCAGAAACTTGGTTAATGAAGGGCGTGTGGGGTGAAGGGAAAATTGGCGGGGTATAATCATCGCCCTACCTCATCAGAACTTCAGTAATAGTAAACCCAATACCAGAACCACCTCCCGTGATAAACGCCACCTTCCCTTGGAGAATGTTCGGACGGAAAAAGTAATCATAGTGATCAAGGCAAGCAATGTCGTTCTCCAGCACCGCCTCCGCCATCTTGGAATAACTTTGAGGCCACGTGAGTTATAAGGGGGGAGTAGTGGGAGGCGCGCGATGCATGTTTGGTACTCAAGGGAACATGGCGACGGCACTGAGTTTTGGTGAGGACGAGTTATAGTTAGCCTTACTTTCGTTACTTTTTTTTCTTTGACTTTCGAAGCGTTTTCAGTTTGAAAATTTTCCTCGATTTTGTAAGTGCCTGCATAAAAATTTATGTGTGGATAAATCTGCAGGTTCGGTTCCCTCGTTTTATCGCGAGGTTTATCAGATAGTATGTCCCAATCAAGAAGAGAGGATCGAGCGTGATATGTTTGTGAAGATCTTAATGAAATCAAGCCTACCCAAACAATCGTTAAGTCAGGTAAAGTATAAGACGTATTTAGCTTGTTTATTTCGTTCTCTATGAATGCAAATAAATGACAGGAGAGACGTTCGTCTTAGCTTTTAAGTAAACCTAACGTAACATCGTTGACCATTTATTTACGTTTTGCGTTTTGTGCCCTGGTAGTTGTACTTTTGATATATTACAATTAAAAATCGCGACTTGTCTCACCCTGCTTATTAAGAGCTTTTTCATGCCCAGTTGGATCAAAGATCGTCAGATGAGAGCAGAATTTTTGTCTTCCTCGTTTGTGTAGGATCTTTGTGTTGGTGTGTCGGTTTGGGTCACGCAGTACAACACGAGGTGTAATTAATTTACTAGCTCTTTAAAATTGGATCTAATATCCATGAAATTTATATAATCAGCCATCTCGTAATATGAGCATCTAGTCGATCAGCTGTTTCTTATATAATAATTACAATACATCCTGCATGGGATCCTTGTAAATTGATATTTTTTTAGTGCAAGTTGTTCTGTTCATGCTAACTTTTGTATTAGCTGAAGAGTGGGATCCCAAGGGACGAGGCTATTGTATTTTACATCCTTGGTCTTTTCAAACCCCGGATAAAATCAGTCAGTGATGTACCTGTTCCAAGAGGAAAAATCTATTATTCCATAGATATTAGCATATCATAATTATCTTTTGTAAGTCCAGCCCCAATGGGCAAAAATAATAAGTGTACCTTTACTGGTAATAACTTTCTTACTGATTGATTGATTTAATGACATTCTAATTTAATTGATTGATTGATTGATTAACTGATTGATTGATTGCTGGATCTTTTGAATTGCACTTCAAGTTACTGAAATCTCATTTTTTACATTTGAACTAATTCCACTTTTTCTCTAGCCTCCTCCACAAAAAAGAAAATGAAAAAATTACACTTTTCATTGTTATAAGTCCATTGAGTCTTTTTTTCTTTTAATTCAGATTTGGGAAGCTGTTGATCCAAGGCAAGATGGATATGTTACAAGAGATGGATTATACAAGGCACTGGCCTTAACTGCTTTAGCACAACAGGGGAAAATTATATCAGAGAGAGCGTTAGAGCAATTTGTAGATTCAGGTATGGTTATTTGACAATTTCCCTTGGCAGAGTTTTGAAAAAACAATTCTTCAGTGTAAAAGAAGGATCAGTCATAACACATTTGATAAAAACCTTTTCCAATAATGACTCAATCTTTAAGGCCAAGTAGGGTTGAAGGCTGAACAATTGATCATGAGTACCTTTGAAACTAACCAACTTTGAAACTTTCTACTTTAATTGATATTTGTTTATAATGACTGTTATTAATGTATCACAGAATTGCCAAAGCCTTCTTTGGGGGACCTGTCAGATCTGAAAAGTCTGAGTGTGCGTCAAAGGCGTGAAAACAACCCAAATGTTTTGGGTTATAACTATGATGAACTTGTGAGTTTGGACACAGTAGATGTAGAGCTTGTACCAGAAAAGAAAGGAATTCTTCTAAAGCACAATGAATATCATGTTTCTAGCAAGGTGAGACCAAATAATAAAAAAATATACAATCAATCCTGTATTAAGGGGCACTGTATTAGTTGGTCACCCTGTATCAAGTGGTTGGTTGTCAAAGTCCCCAGTGTGTTTCCCCTTAATCACTGTAATTTTTCTTGTGTTTCCCCTTAACCCTTTAACTCCCAGAAGTGATCAACATAAAACTTCTCCCTACAATATCCATACATTCTTCAGCAAACTGGTAATGAGAATATTCAAACTTATCAGGTAGAAGCTGCTATCATGATGTAGCACCAAGTTCTCATAACTAATTTACAAGGAAATGTGTGGCAGGTACAGGGCAGAATTAACAATCAGATCTTGGGAGTTAAAGGGTTAATCACTGTAATTTCCACCTCTTATAAGTAGTCACCTCTATTAAGCAGTGGCCATCACCTCTGAGTGAGTCCCAATAGCCTGTTTCTATTCCCTTTTACTTGTATTTAACAGTCACTTAAAGGCAAACTACTCAGGCAAATAAAACTAAGAATAATCTTCAAGATTATTTTTGTCAGAGAAAAATTTGAAACAAGAAGCTTGCAAATGTAACTTCCAGCATTCTGGGCATCAAAAAGAGTGCCTGCAGGCTGAACAGATGGTGATGACTGGTCTTAAAAACAGGGGTAGACCACCTGTCAACTGCTTTCATTGACATCCCTGAAAGCTGCAATCAAGGGCTGTTTTGCCAAGCACCCAAATAGATTGACCAATAGCTAATAAAATAAGTAAGAGGTGACATGTTTTTGCTAGTTATAATCTGGCGTGTTTTCTTTCGTAATGTTTATGACAGGTCACTTAATAAATGAAGTTAGATAAATACTTTTTTCTTTGTTCATCTTTTCAGAAACATAACTGTACTGTAAATCGTCGCTACAACGACTTTGTTGCCTTCCATGACATGTTACTAGCAAGGTTCCCATACCGTCTCATTCCGACACTTCCTCCAAAGAAGCTTATGGGAGGTATGTTTGAATTAAGGAATTACATGATAAAATTATATTTGGAGCAATAAACTCTGAGTTATGCTAGCTGGACCATTGTAAAAGATGTCTTGTCCAGACATACAATTTTTGGTAAAGCTTGGTAGTTTGCTTGGGGGGAGGGGGGGGAGGGATAGCAGAGGACCAACAGAGGACCAAGTTGTCCTTCCAATAGACCACATTCTTGGTCAGTCTATCCGGCTCTTCAATCAGAGCTCCTAAGTGGACAGATGGTTTTAAGCCCATCAGACTCCTGAATCAGAGATCCATGGTGGTCATTTGTTCAGCTCTTTAAACACAACTTGGAAGTCACAAGTTTTTGAGAAGTTAAGAGTGGTCAGCCTGTAAGACCTACAATTCAGAAGTCCAGAACAGTCAAGTGGTCAGTGTATCACAATCTGAGAGTCTGGAGTGCAGGCTACTAGATGAAATTTTTTTCCTCCAGGGGTGAGTGGGGGGTGGAGGGGAGAGGGCATAGGGTTGTCCTGAGTTAAATTCCCTAAACTTTCATTTGGCTGTCCGAAAACCAAACCCAAGGTAAACAGCAAGGCCAATTAAAACATAGGTAGATGTAACTAGGAGCCAATGTGAAAACAAGCCAACTGCTCAAAGAACAGGGCAGTGTGAGTGACCAAGGTTGTTTTAATACAAGTTTTGCATCCAATTCACTGAGAAAGTGGCTTGAGTTTTCTTGACCAGTAACCTAGAAAAGTACAGCAAAATCAATTGAATCCTTTATTACTTTTGACACTTAATTAATAATTCCTCTGATATTAAACTTTTTATATTTGGATTATTTTATTATCAATGGCCATTTAAGCTGGCTACCAGAAACCATATTTGTTCATCTATTTGCAGCCAGCAAAGAGTTCATTGAGGCCAGGAAAAGATCCTTAAAGCGTTTTCTGACTCTTGTTGTGAGGCATCCTGTACTTTGCGAGGACAAGATTGTGAACTTTTTCCTTACAGTCAAGGGCTCAGTAAGTTGTCCTGTTGAATTCTATTGGAATACACCTTTCCAGCAGAGCTCAGGATTTGTGATGGTGGCATCCATCTGTTTCTGTTGTTCCCATTATGTTTATGCTATTGTTTACCAAACAAAGACTGTATCATACCACGCAACCCCATGAGCACTCATGTTACAACTCTGTTACATGAGAATGCACTTGTTGTCAGCCGATCAGAAGCGCACAATTTTTTCCATGCACATTATAAAGATCGTGGTATGTGTTGTTAAGGATATGTGTGCTATTTCTCCCAGGACATTGGTCAGAAGTTGAAGGATCAGTATAAATCGATGCCAGATGAATTCATGACTAGTCCTCTTGCCTCCAAAGCAAAGGTAATAAATTGCAAGACATGTATAAATTCTTTTTACTTTCTGCTCTACATTCAATATAATTTTAGCCCCAACAAATAAGTGGCAGATCAAATATCTCTTGGTCAGGTGATGTTTTGCTATTTTCTCGTCACCTTTCTGCTTGAGAATATATTGATATTGTTCAGGAGAAACATTTACTTGGTCACTGTTAGGAGTCAAATACTGGTGTTTCTCCTTTTTTTTGTTTTTGTTTTTTAATTTTTTTGCTCAAATTTGAGTTACAATTGTATAAAGAGCTGATTATCCTTTTTCTTTGAATAAAATTTTATAAAATCTAGGGAAATTCCATGCAATATTTTTCTATATTTTTTTGTGTTTGTCTCATAGGAACTAGTCCCTATGGATACACAAGCCAGTTTTCAAACCAGCCGCCTGCAAATTCAAGCCATTCACAACAGTGTGGAAAAACTAAAGGATGTTGCTGATAGAATGACAGCAAGAGCCTTAGGTTGTTCATCTTTCCATCAATTTATTCTTCAGTTTTTGGGAATACAATTTGAAATCAATGCTTCAATCCATGAGTTATGCTACTAGCAAAAAAAATATAATATCATATCATCTATTGAAATCAAAAGAAAAATACAATTTGTTCATCAAGAAATATGAAAAAGCAGTTACTGCTGCCTAGGTTAATTGGCAGCGATGAAAAGAAAAGACTCGCAGAAATTCCTCTGAAGGGTAACATATTTCAAGGCATATATTATTTGGTACGAGGTACTGGAGATAGTTAACTGAAAGTATAAGGGGAAGAAAGTAAACAGGCTCTGTTTACTCTGATACAAAAGTATGAAGGTAACAGCTAATTATTTTGAATTAATATTGATATTATTTTTTTATTTTGTAAACAGGATTTTCTTCTGACATGCTTCAGTTTGCTAAGGAACTCACGTAAGTCCCTGTCTCTCAAGGGTGAAAACATCTTTGTCTGCGAATGATGTTCAAGGAAGCATTTCATGAGATGTGAAATACTAGGGAGTACTCTCTGTAGGTTACACTTGATACTCATTCCTGCCCAGAAAGTTTGAGACTTCCTTTCATTATTGTCTCTGTTTGTAATGGATTCTAAAAAAAATTTTTGTGTTGAAAAATAATCAGCCAAAACATTACCACAATGTTAATGCATTAGTACTGTCTTGCACTGCAGATATTTAAATCCTTGAAACTGTGGCTCTACCTTAATCACTGCTACTTGCACAGATGATGTTTGTGCTCACTATTTAGTAGAAATTATTTGTAGCTTCCGTCAGCAGTGTTTATTCACATATTTGAAAACAGATGTTTTCTTACCTAAGTTCTCTGAGAACTCTTTTTGATACAAATTGTACTTCTATCAAATTTCTATTAAACATGTCCAAAGTAGTCAGTTGTATGTGAATTATCAGATCATTAGTACATATCTTTTGTCATTATCTACACAGAGCATTAACCAATGAGTCACACCCAACAACTGTATGGGCAAGTGGCAGTAACAACACATGGGGGAACCTTAAACACAGCTTTACTGGAATCACTCCTTATTATACCAAACTTTCAGAGAGAGGTGCTGTTTGGGTTAGTACGAGCTAAATTCAATTATTTCTGGTTAAAAAGATTTCAACTTTCTTGATTTTAGTCCCCATATGTTTATGGATTATGATAACATTACCTAGAACAAAGGAGAAAAAAATTAGAACTACCAGAAGTACTAGTACTTCAACAGCTACACTTGCATTTCAGACAACTACTGAAAAGTGCCTCATCTGCGTATTGGAAGGATGGTTAAAGATGAAGGCCTCGGTCATGTTTTATGTACATTAAAAAAGGTCATTTTACTTTTTGCACTGCTTAAGTCACCCATTTCACAAAAACAAAAGTTTTCTGCTTTCTGCTAAATTATGTGCAATAAAGTTATGTTTTTTGTCTTTGGTGGCCATACACCTTTTTTTTGTCCTGACACTCTTGTAAGATAATGTCAGTGGTGCTGTGAGGCAAGACTTTACCACCACAAAGCAGTCAACTGACCATGATTAACATTATAAATTACCTATCAAATTGAGTAGAGGGCAAGGGCACAAGAAGGCAACAATTAACTAAGACTGAACTTTTTTCTCCTACTTAATTTTGCCTTGTTCCTAGTTTAAAAGAGAGGATACTGGTGCTGCTGAGTACTTGGCTCTCTTCTTGGACTTAACCTCAAGTTATCGGGTAAGTTTGAATAACCCAACTTTTTTATGAACCCTTTCAACCCTAACAGTACTAAGATCTAATTTCTCCTTACAATAACTCCCCTGAATCAAACATTAAGGTCACAAGAATAAAGGAGATGATCACCAACTAAAGAAGCTTTTGATTGTTGAACAAATTCTCCTTGTCAGAACCCTTGGAAATGTCTAAGGTGTGGTATGGAGAATATGCACGCTGATGTTAGGGAGTAAAAGTTAAGGGTTTAACTGTTTACCCCATTCACTTCCTCCTTTCTGTCTTACATACTTTTCATATGATTTTAGCTCTGAGAATTTTGTGTCCAATCAATTTGTATCACAAAGTTGATCTTTTTCTGTCTTCTTTTCACCTCTTGCTTGACAATGTGTGAATAGTGCTGGGAGAAATTATTCATAGGTTGCTCCTGGGAGTGAAAGGTGTAAGGGAAGTTTTGCAATGCAATTAGGCCCAAAATAGGAAGTCATTCCCTGGAAAATGGCAAGTGGATGCTTGAAGAAGCTATGTCATTGTCACTTTTGTACAATAAAAAATTGCCTCCATATAGAAGAAAACAGACATCTATGAGATAAGAAGTGCTGGTTTATTAGAGGTGTTAGTTTGTTGCTAAGGTTTGGAAATGATGGTTTTCTTTTGCTGAGGCTGTGCCCCTCTGCACAGGCATTCAGTAGATTTTTTTGCTAATGGAAAAGTGTCCATAAGGAGAGTTTCAAGGGTTGGAAGCTTTGAAATAACCCATGGTGCAGATCAAAAATTGAGAACCAGTGCATGAAAGAGAGTGACTCCTATTGATAGCATTTCTTTTTTATGCCAGGAACTTTGTGAAAGGCATGAAAAGGGAGTTTTAAAAGATCACCAACACTCGCTCCAGAAAATGCAGCAGATCAAAAAACGTCAGATTGCTGCTCAGGCAAAGGGCCAGGATCATGCTGTTGATCAGCTGGAATCCAAAATTGTTGAACAGGAGACAGACATCAGTAACATGGAAAACAGGAACTATTTCTCACTGCACTGTCTCCAGCTAGAAACCCAGTTGGTACATGCTAACATGAAATTATTGGCAATAGTGTTACAAAAGATGGTCACATCACAGATTGCAGGACACAAGGAGGTGAGATGCAAGCTAGACAATAAATTCCCCGACACAGTAGGCAATAAGTTGTCATGATCCATGACAAGGCATGTCGCAGCAGCTACAGTCAGTGTCAAAATTAATTGACACTTCACATCAAAGATTCCTATTTACAAGTAGAATAACAATCCTGTCTCTACCACACTCTAAATCATTGACAAGACCCCTCTTCCCACCCTTTCCCCCATTCAATGAAGGGGGAAGGGGGCAAATGGGTCACAGGAGGTGGAAAGTAAATTCCTACTTAGGTCATTTGAGGCTATTCCTTCCTCTTGAAGACTTCATGGAAGGACATCAGCAATTCTCCCTTTTAAACACCCATTTACATGTGAACTTTACAGATGATAGTGTGGTTGACAGTTTTGCTGTCATCAATCTCTTTAACAGGTATTTGAAGTCTGGAATGAACTTGATCCACTTGTGGCTGCATTACTTCCCAGCAACTCTCCTGGCTCATCACCCCCTGGTTCACCGCCATTAAAGTAATTTCAGCTGTCTACATGATCAATGTAGAAGTATATTGCTCTTTCATAGATTTAAGTATTTTTAATTACTTAGTGGTAAGGTGTCATAAGATGAAATTGGTCCACACCAGATGACCTGTGTAGTCAAATAACAGTGATATCAACCAACCTGCAAATTGTTGTGAAGTGTTGATGTGCTGTTATCAAGATGTTGAATTACATCTCTCCTAGTAATGTTCACTTTTAAGGTTAGACTTCGGTTTTAAATCCAGTCACTGAAATGGTCACCTAACCCATAAATTCAGAGAAGAATAAAAGAACATTTTTTAAGGAAAAACTTCTTTTTTGGGATTTGTTTGTTATTTTGATGGACAAATTATAGCTGCAGTATACCAAATATTGTTCGGTATTTCCCTCTAAGTATTGGATAAATATCCAAAGGTATGTAGTGGAGGTGTTCTTCCTAGTTAGAAAATTGAATGATTTGTTTTTATAACTGTTAGCAATTTTCTTAATGCTTGTCTTACTTTGCTAAATGGCCAGGAAATGTTTATTTTCTATTGATTGGAGCAGAATAAAAGGCAAAACCAATGGATAATTATTTTGTAAAAAAAGATTATAGTTACTGTAGTACAAATTTTATAAGGAGCAACTGAACACTTAATCAATCAAATATTGTGCACTTTCACATCGCATGCACTGAAACATAATATTCAAGGACAGGGAGCTTTGACCGTGAGAACTCTTTCTTCAGGCTAAACATAAATATAACTACAACTTTCTCGCAGTTATTGCTCAACTGGACATCTCTTTAAAGAATTTTGCAGGTAATTATAAACCACCCAGTACTATCTAAGTTTTCTTCAATGATATTGATGCTAGATTTGGACTCAAGTTATGAATAACTTCAGGAAAACTATCTTCTACAACAAGTAGTTGTGAACTGTCACTTAATGGCTCTCACCTTGTACATCAGTAAGGCAGAAGAAACAAGTGGATTTCAAGCATCCTTAAATTTGACCCAAAGAAACCTCAGAAATATAGCAGATTTGATTTCCCAAGAGGTCTTTGGTACAACTAATAAGGGTACAATACTTATTATAATGTTTGTTTGACTCACTGTTCTTGTATGCATCTCAGAAGCGTAAAGTTTATCGAAGATTGCTGATAGTGTACCATTAATTCTTTGTAAATCTGGCTAACAGAAGAAGGTATAGTTGTAGTGACTTTGCTATCTTTGGATAACTTGAATTGCACTTCAACCTTGTAACTCCCAAGATCTAATCAGTAGTTTTGTCTTCTGATTGCCTTGCATTCTCTGGTAAATTAGGCAGGAAATTTTGGTTTTATATGAAGGAAGCACTTTCATATTGATAAGTTTGCCTGTTCACATAACCTGTAAAATGACATACAGCATTGGAAGCACAAGGGAAAGCTACATGTCAATCTCATGGGAGTTAGAGGGTTTTGTGGTATTAAGACTTAATTGTCAGCTTTTCCGCTAATGATTTCCAAGTTTCTAACAAGGGACCACCTAAATTTACAACTTTAGAATCAGTTGTCTTTGATAATGTTCAGTATACTGAACCTACATTGGTAGAAAAGAGAAGTTATTATTAACTTAAAGAATCAGTAGTCTAAGAGTTTTGAAAAAGGACTAATCAATTAGATGGATTAAAGAGTATTTTTAAGAATATTGAGTGAAATTTTGTGTTTTTTAATCTGGTACAGATTTCTTGGCAATCTGCTCAAAATGTGAACCCACAGGATATGATTACTAACTGGATGTCAAAATTTAAAATTCAACCATTCCAAATCCTGTTTCCACAATTTGCGGCAACTCTAGTTGTTTAGGACTGAATGTGACTGTTGATTGGTAGACTTTTAGTTTTAAATACCAAATAAAAATCCTGGATTGTTGACTTTTGCTAGGATGGATTTCTTTGAGGTCTTGCTCAGCCTAGTCCAGTGCAAAACAGAACTGAAATCCAGTTAATAATTAGTGTTGCTTCAAACAAGATTTTCACTGAAACGTGGTCTTTCTAGATGTGATTGCTACAATTCCCAAACTTCATGCCACAGACCTCCCATCCAAAAGGCCATTGTCATTAACCCTTTAATCCCTAGGAGTGTCTGGCATCTAATTTTTCCTCGCTGTATCACCCCTGAATTAAACACTAAGGCCAGGAGAATAAAGGAAGTGATCACCTGCGAAAAAGCTCTTGATTGTTACACAAATTCTCCCTATTAGCACCCTAGGAAATGTTTAGAGAATGGTATGGAGATTGTGGACACTGATGTTAGGGTGTTAAGGGTTAAAGCCGTTTTGTGCACTTGCCCTTTTGTTATTAAACATTTCACTTCTAAATGCAGTGCTCTCATTGGATGTTTCATCCCAGGTGTTTATTTTCAGCCTGCATAGCTCTTGCAATGTACCAAGGATCAAATTAAGGGTAGCACAGACACTATTCAGTTTTAAAATAGTGTGATGATGTGGATGATTGTCAGGAACAGCACTAAGAAACTTGTTTTTACAAGTGATATTTTATCACAAATATAACTTCTACAAATTTCTTTTCCCTTTTTTTAAATGCATAGACAGAAAAACCTAAACACAGTTTTCTACTTGATGTATACCCTTTTTTATTGAATTAATAAATGGAAATTACACATGCAAATATCTAAGATTATAAGTAGAGACGAGTTGTAAATAACTTACTTGCTGATGAATATCATCATATTGCTATTAATTTTCTATAGCAACAAAACTGTTTGAAACAAACACTCTTACTTTATCCAACGTAGATGGCTTTGCAACCCTTGAACATGAATATTATTCAAAGTTTTAATTCTTTTGAATATATGATAACAACTTTCCACAACCTTTTACAGATTTTTATGGAGGATTTTTTTTTTTTGCCATGACCTACAATCAAGACCCTCTCTCAAAATGTCAAAAATAATTTTTCAATCAATGTATTTCTTACTTTACCAGAAAAATTAATTACCTTTGTCTTGACATATTCCCTGAATTCCAAGATCAAAATATGAAAGCATAAAATTCCTTCAATTTACATTCCAGGTATCACTTGACCCCTTATGAACTCTGTTGTTTCAAGCTGTTTTACAAGGTCCTTCACTCTGTTAACAAAAAAGGGCTAAAATCATCAGAAAAGTGATAACTTTTTAAGAAGGACATCACTATGTCTCATGCTTGTCACAAATATTTGAAATCCTTGTTAGGTCAATGCCAGAGCTAAAATCTACTACTCTTCCCAATCCATCTATCTCTACTTTTTTTCAAGTGTTGCTAGCCTCTATGGAACAAGTGTCTCCCTATTTTAACCAAAACTAAAAATAAGCTAGCAAATAGATAGGTAGAACTGAGGACAAGAAAAATTCTGTTATTCCTATGAGGCCTAACAGTAGCATCTTGTTATGTATCAGGTTCTTTTCAATTCTCCCAGCACATAACAAATGAAAGCAAGCCCATTTTAATTTTACTCTTAATACACAAGTGCAATTCTACCATTCTACCTCTACCAGAGACACATTTCCTTGTAAGTTAGTTACAAGGATTTTGTGTTAAATCAAGATAACAAATTCTACTTGAGAAGTTGGAGTATTCTGATTATCTATCCAGTGGATAATGTAAGGATATTATGGGGAGATGTTACATGTTAATCATCTTTGGGAGTTAAAGGGTTTATTTCTACATGTAACTCAGTATTGTAATTGTACATGCTCTTCAACATTACTAATTGTCTTGTCAGATTTGTATTTGATTTTGTATCCTAAAGCAATCATTGAACTGAAAAAAAAAAAAAAAAAAAAAAAAAAATGCCAGAAACCATGCTTCTCCACATAAATCTTGAGCATAAATTTTTGCTTAAGGAGAAATTTCTAATTCATTCCTAGTTTTAATCATGTTCATGATTTGAAAATTATCCTTACAACTAAATTATTAGAGAAATTTTCAATAAGTGTTGAAAGTAATCCCGGATTGCTTGGTCCAGAAAACTCACTCCACTGTTACAACCAATAAGATGCAAAACTGAAATCAACTGTGATTTGGTCACTGGCACTTTCCTCACTTTTCACAGTTACACCAGTTTAACATTGAAAGGAATTCTCCTTTCTCCTGATCAGTCCTTGCAATTACTTTGGTTTAGGTTTATGAGACTCAATCGAAAAGTACTCTGACTAATACTGAATTTTAACCTCACATATTTTAGCATACATTAGTCTAGCACACTATTTACATCAGCTTATATGATGCCTATGTGCCATAATATAAATGAACCTTATTACCACTCACAAACAAAGGTTGTTTGGGGGTATTTTCTACAGCTGTAGGTTTACATTTCCTAAGTAATTCACTAATCAGTATATCAATAAATAACTTATAAAGAACATAAAGAACATAAATGAGAAATGCAAATGATTTAACTCTTCATTCAAACAAAATACTCCCATAATCTAAAATCTCAGCAACCACTTTAAGAAGTACAACACAAATTTTGGATCTGTTCTTCTGTTGGCTGATTTTGATAATCTGATTTTACTTCCACACATTAGGATATTATTTTTTGGTCAAGGTCAGTATCTGATCAACTACACACCTTCCCCTCCCCTAACCTAACATGAACCCTAACTTGTTATCAGTTGATTGTTGTTGGGTTAGGGGAGGGGTGGGGGGGGGGGGAAGTTGATCAGATACTGGCATTGATCCATATTTTCCTAGTAATTATTACTGGTACCTGACCATTTGATATTGTATCAAAACCATATGTAGAAGCCTAATTTATATATATATATTTTTTACTTATCACTAATGGGAGGAAAATATATGAAACCCAAATTTAGTGAAATCATTAAAAAGTTAATCCTTCTGTATTTTACAGGGAACACATCTGACATGAATATAAACGATACTGAACAAAAATGATAACTGATGAGAATCAACTATAATAATTGATAATAACAGTAACATTACTAATGATAATAAATATAGATGCTTTGTTCTAGTTCCTTGTTACAGCAACAGTAAGAAAGCCAAGAAAGTCAATCAAGTCCTGTGTTTGTCCACTTCTACATCTCCTCCATAGAACAAACTAGGGTGGCCTCCACCTCTTGTGAGAATACCCTTACAGTAAGAAAAAAAAACAGTGATGAGAAAATGTTTTTTCTACATTAAACAGTAAAGAACTAGATTTCAGTTTGTGCTTTGTACAAAATTTAGTCTAAATTATGGAAAAAAGAGGAAATGATTGAATGATTTCTGGTCTGAGACTCAGAAAGTTGTTAAGCAGAAAGTTGCTCACCCTTTTTAGCTGTTCCTGTCTTCGCTGCCACTGAGAGGGTGACATTGAGCTACTTGCAGGGTAGACAATCTGTAACTGAGGGCTAGACATGAACAATGAAGGATCTGAACTATGGCGACGTAGTCCACTTGTTTCCTGTCGGCATTCATTTAGCTGACTTTTGTAGATTGCAAGCTTTATGAATCAACAAAGACAAATGATTGGCAAAATTGAACAATTCTTAGGAATCCATTCATTATTTCATTTATGCACATGTATACAATTTGCCCTTGAAAGTGTCTCAGGTTATACATGCCTATGTAATGTTCTTTAAGCAAAGGTTCTCTTGGCAATTTTGTTCAAACCAATGATTTTCAACTTTGTGTTATAACTTTGAGAAACACATTTGCTTCCTGGTTAGCAAGCTTAACTCCACACTCAGAAGTCCTATTTTGGTCAGTAGATGTCCTTCGTGTCCCTGAGCAAGACACTCTCATAGAATCAGGGTAGACTTCATTCATATTAGCAATTTGTAAGGAAAACTTGACAAATTTGTGGAGGTTACCCTTCATAGACTCATCTTGCATCCCAATAGGGTGGAGAAGTAGTGATGTCACTTCATGTTCCCTGTGGCTTTACACTCCCCAAGAGCACTAAGCGTCAATATAACTGAGCCACTAGACTTGCAGATAAAATTTTCCTCACCTCTTGTGTCAATGTGGCAATGAGGTCTTGAGCATCTAAAAGCTGCTGCTGAAGGTTATCTTTTTCACCTTGTGCTCTTTCTCTGTCTCTCCTCTCATTTGAGAAATCTTCCTCATACGCTTGTATCTGAGCAAACCACATTTCAACGTATATTACTACACATGCATTTTCATCATAATTTACTTGCAACACACACTCTATAACCCTAATATCTCCCAGATCTGACAAATAACAATCCTATTCCATAAAATTAGCATCATGCATCCCTGTCTTGATTTAAGATGAAATTTGGGGGTAAATGATTTGCTTCATTCTCTTTACCAGTCTACATAACAGCATATTAAAATGTAGAGAGAGCATACATGCCAACCACTCCAAGAAATCACAAAGTTAAAAGCATATATACATAATAATAATAAAATAATAATATTAATTTACCACTCCTCCAAGGGGGATTTTAAGTGTCAATAAAAAAAATTTTAAAAAATGTAAAAAAATCGTGTAATGAAACATAGCATTTAAAAATTCTAACTAGCTAGAGGCAGATCTATTGGTCATATACTAAGCACAGCTTTGGAGTTGAACTTGGTGCTACCAAGAACAAATCCAGTAAGTAGCTGGGTGGAGGATTTGAACCAGGGAATACCAGATTACAAGTCCGGCACCCTAACCACTCGGCTACACTGCCGCCTGGCTATAAAGGTCCAGTTAGAAAAAACAGTTGCTCTCAATGGGTTATCAGTATACAGATCTTACTCCTTTGGGTACCCCAACACATGTTACAACATGTATTCAAAATACTTTTTTTATAAGTTACAGTACCCATCACTCGTGGTTAAAATTTGATCAAGATTTAAAATTTTTCACACCAATCAGATTTTTCTTTCCTATCTTTACCTTTTTCTTTTCTTTTCCCTTCCTTTTTTTTTTTTGGCAGTATTCATATAATAATTGGAAAACACTAACATAAAATTTATACTGGTTTCAAAAAGTTTCAAACCAAGGAACAATTTTAACCACAACATTTATAAATAAGCTTGAACATACAATTGATTATCCTTAAATGACAGTAGTAGTATCAAGTTTTGACCATTGTCATACAGTAAGTATTCACTGAGAAAATAACACAAACCTGTTGTTTAAATACTTCAAAATCATTCAGATCTAGGAATGGTGACTGCGGTGAAGGTTTCTGTCCTTGATACAGTTCATTTAAAGTAGCAGCAAGCCTTGAAACTTCAGTTCCCAGAGCAAGGACCTGTGTTTCTGAATTTGCAAGTTTTTCTTTGGTCAAATCCAGTTCCTTTTGAAGCATTTCATTCTCTGTCTGATATTTTATCTTCATAGCATCGTAGTCTTCTTTCCACTTCTTGTTGACTTCCATAACCTTCATTTAAAAGTATAGACATCAGTTTGAAACAGAACATTTATACAAAGTATGTTCATAGCATTAAATAAATTAAATTACCGTAAATTGCAAATTCACTGCCATGGAGTAGGTAAGAAATATTTACTAAACCACAAAGTACTTTTTCATACCACTGGAGATACTCATAGAATAAAAGTGTTCTCGGATGCAACAAATATATAAATGAATGAAACAAGATTGGGCTTGTCAAATGTTTGCTGACTCTGTAGAATTACCCTTATAATAGCCATTGTGTTTCAGAAATATCATATTACATCATCATAGTATCCTTCCAAAATATGTAAGTGGTTAATTTCAAATCTGAGCAAATTACTGCATAATCATTTTAATTAGTGGTAATTATGTTACATAGAATGTCATAATACAATTATAATAGAACTGCAAGATGCATAAATAGTTAATAACAAGCCTAGGCAAGTCAATCTTTGGCTGACGTTGCATTTAATTGTTATAATTGATTGCTGGTGATGGTATATTAATATAGAACCCTGCTAGGGAAATAAATTATGCAAACATTGCATAATCTATAAAAAGAAATTCAAAACAAGATGAGTAGGTGGTTCATTACCAATAAAGGAAATCAGCCTTTCTGGCTCGATGGGCACAGTGGTTTTACTGATTATAATTTGTTAAAAAATAGCAAACAAGGTTACAGAGTCAGTAAAGTATGCAGAGAATCTTTATTGGAAGGAACTTCTAAGGCACAAATCATTCCATGAATTGTTTGATTAATGTGGGTAGGGAAGAATATTCAATAAACAAAATTAGTTCATTGAAACACAGAAGAGAAAAATTACTACAGTAGGACTAAGAACAAATAACATTTACAAGCAAAGGAACAACTACGTGGTCACATAGCAAGCTATTCCAAAATTCTGGCTATGGTGTAAAACACATATTGATGTCTCGAGTGGATTGACCACAAGCTGCTTTTTATTTATCCATGTTCTGATTAAACTAGTATCATAATACAACACAATTTGCAAATTTCATGAAGGTTAATTCACTCCATAGTTTAAAAGCTACTTTCCTTTGGTTTCCTAAGGAAAAATTTAGTTAATCAGCTTAGTTTAAGTCAAAGAACCTGCGTTCTGTGTAATACTGTATAAATCAAACATGAGTAAGTGTGTTTTATCAATATAGGTTGAAACAGCAGGATACTCAGAATGTTAACAATTTTGTAGACCATTCAATTTGTAAGGTCATAGTTACCACCACTGCTGTGAGCAAATTTTGATTTTTTTTCTGGGTATATCTATAGCATTGGATCCTTAAAAATTCAAAACATGAGAGATACTAATGAGACACATAATGCATGCTAAAAATGCTTTGAGCAATGATATAATAACAAAGCTTAACATTAACTGGGCACAAGACATCTGAACCTCCATCATATCTACAAGTCTTCATTGTCTAAATAAATAACGAGCATTCCATCAATTCCACAAATGAGAATCATTCTGATTACATGTGCACATAATTTAAGTCATGGACAGCTCTTTTACATTTGATAATTTCAACTATTTGCTTTTCAAAAGGCACATAACTAGATGCATTTTCACGATCTGTTTATTTCATTTTACATACAGATCAGCTCACTGACAGAAAATGAAAAAAAAAACTGTACAACCCATTAATTTTCATTTTCTAAATGGACAACTGTCTGATAGACAAAAGAGGTTACATAGGGTAGGATATAGTGATGATATCGCCCACTTCCGATTGTCACAGCCCACACCTGAATCTTGAAGTGACGTCACAAGTGATTTGAGATTTTAGTTCTTACTCTTTCTCTCATTCTCGCATTTTGAGTTTTGCCTCAATAAGATTTAAATTTCTTCAGGAGGCTATTAAAAATAAAAACTCTATGGATGCACCATGCCACATCCTATATAAATCAATCTTTTAGTTTTGTTTCATTCAGGTATAGAGAGTAGTATATAGAGTAGTAAAATTGAGTAACGCATTTTCCTTGCAAACTCATCACCATGCTGGACCTCTTTGAGGGTCATCGGCATACCACCATGTTCTGAATCTTACTGCATATTCGCAGAAAGGCCAAATTTATCCAAATAAACAGTGCAGCAAAATTGTTATTTTTGCTTTTGAGAATTATCTCATGAAATTGTTGTGTGTGACAATTGTTTTGGCTGACATGCAGACAACTCCAAATTCATGAGCCATAATGCATCAAGTCCTGAATAAGGCAATATGATGTTTGGAAGAGAGCATAATTATGACTTTGGTAACAATTGATTCTAGTGTTACTGGTTTGCAATATCAGATATATTGCATGGCTGTCATTACAATAAAAAATTCTCATGATTGTACTTCAGGTTTGACTTAATCGTCCATTTGAACTGCAAAATGTTCAAGACAATTAGGACCCAGTAAAATTTCCTTATTTGAAAGTCTGAAGTAAGTTCTGCCCTCCACAAACACGATACGGTCTACATATTTAAAGTTTCTAATGATTTTCGTTAGCCTATAGACTAGATATAAATTAGACTAAAATTGTTGCAGGAAAAGTAATTTCTTTATCTCACCTCGTTCAGTTGCCATTCCAGACATTCTCCACCGCTTTCACCTGAAACAGATCTAGAATCATCCCTTGAGTTTGACGGCTCCTAAGAATAATCGAGAAGTATTTCATTATTAGGCTTAATGATTTTTCTTAACAAAGTCTGTGATTCAACCGTCGTAACTTTTGAACCTCACTTTCGCCATTTACATTGTTGTTTCGAATCTTGCTGTAAAACAAAACACAAAAATATCATATTTCTGTGCTTAAGTAGCATAAGCTTGTGCTCTGAGGCAGGTCCAAAAATTTGAGTTTCACCTCGCGTTTTCGGCTTCTCATGAAACCTTGAACTGCTACATGGTCAACCCGCTACATGGTCAACTTTGAATAACATATATAATTGCTAACCAACATGAAAACCATTCTCATCCACTCATGGAGCGAAACAACAAATATTTCCACCATAAAAATGTACGACGATCGAGGAATGGCCCATTAATATTGTTGTCGAGTTGCCAACACGTCAGTGCGTCGGTCAGAAATATTAAATGAAACTTCTGCCTTCCCATATCATCTGGCAAAAATGAATTAGACTTCATACCTCCCCATCTCTTTTCTTTCCCTTTTCAGCTTCTCTCAACAGTTTTCTAACTCTCGATTGTTCCTTCTGTAACCTTAATAGCAACGATCGTTTTTCGCCCAAAGTCTTGACTAGCGAGCGCTGTAATTCCAAACAGTTCTCGCATCGATTATTCACAGCATTGCTGGTCATTTTCAAATCAAACACTTATTCCCGACGCACTTAATTTGATTCTTGAATAATAAGCTAAGAGCAGTAGGTTAATAAATAGTAGGGCATAAATTTCCCCATTACTGTAACTGCTCTAAATAGAAACCAAAAGAAAGATCGGGTTAAAACTAGACCGGATGTCGTGATGACGTCATCACTTTAACGTGACCTAGTCAAAGAAAACGTGTCAAAATTCTACTCTTACACTAACCCAAAGAAGAAGTTAAATCTTATTTACGTGTGCACGAAAACGAACGGGCGAGTTTTAAAGGGAGATATGAACACACCGTTTTAACAAGTTTTCTTGTCACTTTGGAATATTTTGCCGTCTGGTAAGACAATTTTGGTATTTAAAAAAAGACTATTATTTGGAGATGACTATGTAAAAATTCAGCAACATCATCACTTCAAGTATCCCTATTTTATCACGTAATAAATGTCGTATCACGTAGGATATTTTTGACAAGGGATATTACGATATTCCCTCTCAGAGGCGATTCAGCTAAAAAAACAGCGTGATATTATATTCAATGTGTTTGAGCGGGTCAGAAAGAACAATTAATATCAATCTGAGGCCGTGACACTCTCAGTTCATAACGCGAAGCGTGGGGTTTTTCTACCGATGACCTCAGAATTAGGGAAAAGTCCTAGTTTTGGGAGTACGCGGAGAGAGTCATAGCCACTTTGACTTCACTGAAGAACTGAGTAATGACTAAATTGGTAAAACGTTCAAATTTTCAAGGCAAACGCGAAAGCTGTAGTCGGTCAGCTGTGACTCAATTGACAAAAAAGCAGTATTTTGTTAAAAAAAAAAAATGCTACTAAACTTCCAGCCTTGAAAGTCAAAATTATTGCTGATTTCCCCGCTCATTGTGGTCAGAGACAGTCGTTTCATATACCCCCCCCCCCACCCCACCCACCCCCTTTTCTTGGGAAAAACCCACTTAATCGAACCTCAAAACGAATCATTTAAAACATTTCTGATGCACAACTGAGGGTAAAAGAATATGACCCATAATATGCTCATCTGAAGTAACTCGGTGAAAGAAATTCAATTCTGCTAATGACTTGTATCAAGCCGAGATTATAAACAGTTATAATTTCTTGCTTATACCACCAAAGCTTAAACGTGTTTTAAAGCTGTTTTGTTGAACACAGTTTAAATTTGTTTCTTCATAGATGCTACTTAAACCGATGTTCTGATTTTCACTTGCGTAAATCCGGTTCAACTTAACACGTTTTGCAGGTTTGAATGGGGTATTATTCTGAAGCTCAGACTCTGGATCGCTCCTTTCCCTCAGGGGGAGGACTGGAGCGAGCGACTTCGGACAGTGAGAATTGGGCTGTAACTGACCGGTGACCACTGAGTACTTTCGCTGAGGAGACCAGAAGGAAATCAGAAAAAAATATTGATCACATATCTAATCCAAAGCAATCTAAAACATAGTTTCAGCCCCCCAAAATGTAAGAATCTGTGGTTCTAAATTTTAAAGATAAAGATTTTTTCCCTCACCAAATGTTAGCCAAGGAATTAGCGCCAACCATCAGTACAAAACCGCACCTTGTAGTGCTTCCTATAAAAACGGTCCTATTAGGTATCTTATCCTAGGATTTTTTGAAGAGGCTAGTGCTGTTAACTACCGTCATATTTCTCTCGCGTGGTGTGTAATTGTTTTTTTGCTCGGGAGCCCCGGAGTATACAAGATAAATCGTATATTACCTTCGAAGTCGCCTAGCTGGGCATTTGTCATTTAAACACTACTTGGCTATTGTGCCTTGATGTTCTTCAGGCCAATAACAAATTCCTCTAAAACTGACTATCAAAAGGAGTCAGAGAAAACCTCAACAAGCGACGGTTTCAACCAAATAAGTTAAAAAAATTATCAGGCGACACACAAAAGGTTGCAGGTTAGCCTTGTTCTCAGCCTCTCTGTTTTTTCTTCCACCATTGTCGAAAACGCACCAACACATGTTTCCTAATAAATCACCAGTTTGATAATCTAGAGAAACGAATCTCCGCAGTCACATCTGCAGTTCAACTAACTAGCTGAACATATATGACGACCTTTTACTCTAACAAAACAAAGATCATAATCATGAGTTTCCAGTTCCGTAGTGAGATTAAAAACAACGAAATGATTGTCTACAGTTTCAGACAACCATATCTCGCTCTTAGAGGTTGTGTGGGAAGGACAGCGAAAAAAGATGAAAAAGCCAAAATGAAATAATACCGACGTTATGTTGGGGGCGACTGTGAAAAGAGTAAGAAGAGTGTGAATGAAAACACAAAAGGAATTTATGAGAAAATCATTGCTTTGCACACTTATCAGTAAACTTTTGCACATTTGTTAGCCATCCTCTGCCCTGAAAACACATCAAATTTACCTTCTGAGGACGACAGTTTACTTAACTCCAATGTCACTTCTCTACTCAAATTTGGAATATCTGATCATTAACGGAGCTGATGCACAAATTAAACTTACCATATCACGAGTCAGGTTTTGCGATGTGTATGTTTAACGACGGTGTGAATTGCAAATTATCACAACTGAAGTCGGGAAGCCAGAATTACACCAAAGAGGAAAAACAAACCAAAAAGGAACACGGGAGGTGGTGAATGAAGCCGATTAACACGGATTGACAAACTTGAAATGTCTAGAATACGTAAGTAACGTAGGCGTTAAAACATATTACACTTAGTTAAATGAACTTTCATTCTCTCTATATTCTTTTCTATCTCGATTTACATCAAGAAGAAAAGTGAAACTCGCCTAGCAAAGAAGAAGAAAATGAAACTGATGGTAAATTGAAAAATAGAAGCTCGATGGGCAATTTGTACGGATACTCCTCCCGTTAATACCGTTAACGATTCATACCTCTTTATTAAACATATTTTTTAATTTTTGCATTTTCGGTTTTCGTCGCTCTAGAGTTTCGGATTTTATTTTTGCATTGTTTTGAATCTAAAATCTAAAATCAAGACGTGTCAAGGGTTTTTTTCGGGAGTTCATTGTTTTTCTCTAAATCATTCATAAAAATTTTTGACATGCTCTAAGCTTAAGCAGACCATCTTTGACATAAATCCGAGACCAGAAGCTTTTATAATGTTAGGTCTGTTGCAGGGAAATTCGTACCATTTTCTGTAGGACTATATTAATTTTTCGAGGGAATATGGAGTGCAAAAATTTTAATCTACGGCATTGTTTCATGGAAAATATCGATTCAATCTCTGCACTATTTTGGTAAAAAAAAAAAACGCCCCAAGTTGAACGAACAGCGCGACGAATCTATCTGTTCTTTCTGGCATTCACATTTCCGATGAACGATAATCACGGCTGTTTGGACCTATCTCGTTAATATGAAAGATCCATGTGACTTTAAACAACTTAACTATCGATAAAAAATAGATAATGATCAGAAAGAAGTCTCAAGGCATACAAGCACTTTGGCATAGCATTAAATATATTTTTATGCGTCTGCAAATCATGTTGCTATATTTAACAGATACTGTGGGGGCGAAATGATGTACATATTATTATTTTCCAACCGTACTTCATATTCAACCAATCTTTTAAGCGATTTTTTGGGGTGAAAAGTAATACATAAAGAAAACATAATCAATCCAAACAGTAGTAGTATAGGCTCAGTGCCACAATCCAGTCTATGGTTATCTTAATCTGATTCTCGCCACTCTGCATGAAACTTTAGCGACTGGATTGTGCGTGGGCACTAAGAAAAAGATTTCAACTCTGCAATACTGGAGTAATTCGACTCCTTAAGCACTATTATTACCTTTAGAGGAGGTGACCTGCGGATCATCCATGGATATGCAGCCATTTCTAGCTGAAACTGAGCTGCTTTCTAGTCCAAGTTAGCGACAAGGTGCAAGAGATTTATCTTTCAATGGGCAAACGTGCTGCAGCCCCATTTATAACGGGTAGTCGATGAAATTACAAGATGCTAATGTAAAAGCCGGATGTCGAAGTGATCTAATCCGGGAATGCGATGATGTCATACCTTGGCTCGTCCTGGTTCTCGGTCTTAAAAAAAAACTTCCGGTCTGAATTAAAAACCGATGCCATCGCTAAGCCACAGCATGGCGTTATATCTTACAACTTCCATTTCATACGACTTCCGTCGATGCTTTAAAAGTCAGATTTTGTTTCAAAATATGTTCAAATCGCTCACTCGAATGCCAAATGCGTGGGTGAAATCATAATATACAGATAGAATGTCTGGCTATACCTCGAATGGCAAAGGAACTTTGTTTCCAAACAACCCTGTTCAAACAACAAATAAGCTTTTGGAGTGTGTTCAGCTGTTCGTGGGTGGTCTTTCATAGAAATCAAGAAATAAGCTTCTAGCACGGAAACGTTGATGATTGATAAATACTCGGAGACAGACCGAGGACGGTTGACAATGAATTTCTAACTAAATTTATTAAACAAAAACCCGCCAAAGGATGAGACGGAAAAAGAAAAAAGAGGGAGAAAGAGGAGAAAGAATGTCACAGACGCTTTCCTCTTTTTTTCTTTTTCCTTTTTTTTTTTTAGCATCTCTTGATGTAAATTTACCGGACGTGCTAAATGCAAAATTATATGAACTATCTGCTATCATTTAGGTCCTTAACTTTGGGCTTCCTGTTTACGGAAGTGTTTGATCTGACGAGCAGACTCATTTGTGGCAGGTAATGACGGAGGACGGGTGGAAGAAGAACAAGCGAAAGAAGAGTTACTCTCTTATTTTGACTTAAACGGGAGTTTGCTGCCAAACAGTGCGTAATATTCTATCTGGATATGGCAGACAGAGTCAAATGAATTCGATATACTTCTGGCCAAAGTCTGTAAAAATTTTGCGTCTTGCATGGGGCGGTGAAGTGAAAGGATTTCGCATTGAACCGGGTCGGTATCAGCACGTACACCCGCTCCCCCCCCCCCCCCCGAACCTTAGCTAGTGCCTCCTTCCACTTCTACCCCTCCTCCTTCCTTCACAAGTTGAAGAAGCGGCGCAATTAAGATTTGCAGATCTTAGAAAATTTAGTCCAAAATTTTTCAGTTTTTTATTTTTTTAATCCATGTCTTTCTTTTCCATCCTAGTTC